AACAAAATTAATTGAGCTTGGATAAACCCCAACCCTGTGTTAAAATGAAGTATTACAAAGATGAAGCCCACTAAGAACAGGAGTACATCCCCCAAATAAGTGCCCACCCCCAAGGCCAAAATATCAAATAAGCAGCCCTCTAGAGTAAGCACCCCCCACTCCTCCTTCACTTTCTCAAATAGTAGGGATACAGTGAAAACCTGTTTCTATCACCAGATTATTTACAACTTTTAAGATTAAACTACAGTGGAATCAGTACAGGAGAATAGTCCATTTTACAGCCACATGCTTGGTTGCCAAGCCTTTTAACAGGAGTGAGGCTAAGGGTGACCTTGTTATGATACAAACCTTGCTGCTTTTCAAATGTAAATTGCCTTGTTGTTATGCTAAATAGATACTGGTCTCTATTACAACAAGGCCACCTTCAGCCTCACTCCAAATCAAAGGCTTGGCAACCAAGAAAACAACTGTAAAATAGCCTTTTAGTTTCTTTTTCCAAGCCAGTTATTTCTATCTCCATGTCCTTGGAGAGTTCCTTTATGTGCAGTATCTATTCTTTTAATTTTTTCCTTTGCCCCACTAAATTAATAAGCACCCCCTTGATTAAGCACCTGCTTTGCACCAAGTGTCCCTTCTTTTAGCTGAAATATTAAAAAAGCACCCCAGCTCTTATTTGAGAAAATACAGTATTTGTTTTATTTCAGAAGGACACATTTCTATTATTTGCACAAGGCAAGGAAGAGATGCAACAGAGGACGATCTACCATGGGAAATACCCTTACTGGGGTGTGTGTTACTGCACTTGTTGAGAGGAAGGTCTGCTTTTGAAAATGGCTGGGTTTTGAGTGAACCACATCTATTGTCAATAGTTGCCTAAAACCTGTCTTATTGCAAATAGTGAATAAAGTAAGGTGTTGATTAGATCAGTTACTAACCCTGCTCTTCGGAGTTGGGATCTTGTTGACCTTGAGTTAGCCGCTCCAAGATATCAAGAGCTTGAGACAATAACTGCCATCCCCTCCTAATCAGGTTTACGGCTTGCTGTAACTGGGCATGTCTTCCCTCAATGTTGTCAGGTATAATTATCCCTCTAACAGTTAGTGGCTGTTCAAAAATGAAAAAAAATTGAAAGAATTGAAAATTAAAAGGAAACTGTGTCTCAGTGCAATGAAAACCAAATGGATTGGTCCAGGTACTAAACTTTGCTCAATTTTTTCTGTTATTTTCTTACACTATAGTGCATCTTTCCACTCAAAATTGTATAAGTGATGCTAGAATCTTGTAGAACTTTGGCAAGAAGATAGATGGATTGATTTCTTCATTTTTGGGAAGATGACTCCTCGGCCCAAAAAAACACAAAGAACCAATGAAAATAGATGGACAGATAAAATCATCAAACAAAACTTACAGGTTAAAATCAATCAAAACTATAAATAAAAATAGTATTAAAAATTAGAACAGTCACAAATTACTATCATATCACACAGCAACACACAAGTTACACAGCATATCTGCTTATCTAGTGCACAACATTAATAATGAACGTATCTTGAATGCAACCACTATGGTTTCTGATAAAGCAAAACTTTTAAGTCTATATGCTCACAAAATTGTACCTGATTGTCAGTATGCTCTTCCGGAGTTCTTCCTGGTCGATCCATCCAAGCTTACTGGTATATATGTTAATCTAAAACAAAAGAAAAAGCTTTAATACAATGGTTGTCGTAAACCAAGAATTCTATAGCCTACATTTCCTTCATGATAGAAATTCCAAAACCAAAGGTTCCAATTTGTGGCTGTTTCAAATACATTATTTGTACTCATTGTTTGCGCACCTCATGTCTTTGCAAAGCTTGTACAAAGTATGACAGGCCAAATGTACCAATATTCAACTCATCCAATTTTTACGTTCAACTTTGTAGTTTCTATTCAACTATTTCAACAGATTACTTGATATTCAACTATATGTCTAACATCCAACCATTAGATTAACATTTGGCTATTTGTTCAGCATTCAACTATTCATTAGGCATTCAACTATTCGTTCAACATTCAACTATTCATTCACTCAATTAGTGTTGAGTCCTCCCTATTTCTGTTCAGTGGTCTGATCAGTAAATAAGTAATCTAGCCTTAACCCAGTGCTGCTCAGGTTTGCTTGTTTCCCACATGAATTCATCTTTGTGAAAAGTATGGAAGAGAAGTGATCAATGATCTCAATGGATCTCTTGGGTCCTAATATTTTCTCTACGTTATGAATGAAAGGACAAGTTTTGCATCGTGAGCGAGCGCATTTAAAAGTTCCAGATTGGTCATTGGTTTGGGGTTGTGAGAAGATAGTACCAGTCTCTGAATCATTTTGGAGTAATTTAAAATTTTTAAGAATGATAGATTTAACTGCATGGTTGTGAGGGTGAAATGTAAGAGTAAATGGAATGCGGTTCCTTCTCAGCCGTTTGTAGTGCTGACTGTCAATCGATTTGTTGGGCACGGTGGTGGACTTTCCACGGATATGGAGATGCTAAGAAGCTCGTTTACTCAAAGAACGCGAAGAATGAAAACAAACCGACAAGCGCTATGCCTGCTTCGTGTGCGACACGCACACTTTTACGATAAGGACTTTCCAACCAAAGTAGAACACGCTAAGGGAGGAATTTTTCAAATAAAATGTTAGAACTTACCTGTGGCATAACAGCGACCTTTTTGAGCTTTATGAGGCTCGGCTACAAAGCTTGATTATTTTTCTTCCCCTAAGCATTATGGTATATTACGGTCTTAGAAAAGAATCCGTTTCCCAGAACGTTGTCTTCGTAGTTGCTTTGTTTTTCTGTTTGTCGTTGTTCTTTTAACCTGAATATATCTGCCATCCTCATGCTTAACTTTTCCTTGATTTTGTTGATTTATCGACCAATGCTCGTCCCAAATTCTTTCCAATGCAACCTTGCTAACGGCATACAGTAGCCATGATTCTCGAGCAACGTGGCTTTCTCTCTCAAATCCTTTGATAAAGCAAAATGGAAGGAATCAATGAGTGGTCATCATTGACATATTGTATAAAGTAAAAAGATATCTGCGATCGTATCAAATATTTCACTAAGAGTCGTGATTATCATATTTTTATTCCCCATACGATTTTTGGCCTCCGTAGGCAGAAAGTCTCGGGCGGAACCTAAAACTTAATTAAAACTTTATACCTCAGATGCAGGCGAAAACGAAGTCTCTAGTTCCTAAAATCAACTATACTCAAGATATGTTTCAGTGTCAGTGGTAAAATATTCTGATCTTGATCCGTGTTGTTCCTCGACAAGTTAGAATGCTTACAATACCATACAGATATGTTAAACAATACTTACTCGCAGTGATCGGCCGCCATTTAATAAAGCCATTTTAATCATCAAGACAAGAAAGTCTAGAAAATTGAGTCAATGAAAACAGCGATAATTACAACTTAATCATCAAGATAAGAAAGTCTAGAAAATCGAGTCTATGAAAACAGCGATACTTACAACTTTCAAACTATCACAGCCGCGTTCCTGAAAACTTCCCGATCTAGAGCATCTACTTGCTTACTTTACTTCGGTTGTAGATATTTCTTGGGAAGGGAAGCCAAGTCTCTTGGAATACTCATACTTACTTGTAATGATGAAATAAAAAAGGAAAGACATATTCCTTGGTTCATGCTGGAGGTGATTACAACACAACTCACAAAAATTCTTACTTTTAGGGTGCCTCTGGATTATTTTGTAAAGGTGCCTCTGGATTATTTTGTAAAGGTGCATCTTTGTGCGCGATGACGCTCGATGACGCGATGGAAATTAATTCGCGCATGCGGTTTACAGGAAATATCGAGTTAATTATTACTTCTCTGGTTAATACCAAATTATGCATTTGCATAAATCTAGCGTCTATGGCAACCCCTTGGGCAAAGATCTAGTTTAGCCAATGAAATCTTTCTGCATAGGTAATGTATGCGGGCGAAATTTAGCATGGCGCTTTGTGAACATGGAAGAGGCACTTGCTGTCGAAAATTTGAGTAAAATCAGTCAAATTTTGCCTGTATTCGACGAAAACACGTTGCTATAGCGGAGTCCAACAAGCACATCCTATGAAATCGACTGGAAACTTTGATTTCAATTTTGAAAAGGCCCGATTTTTTTCCAGCAAAGCAAGAGTCACAAGAGAAGACTTTAAACCTTACTGAACAACTGACAGTGGTAAGTGTTTTAATCCGAATTGTCTGAGACTCCATTCGAGGCGCTTTTAATATGTTAAGATCGGCTGTTATGCGACTCCATTTTGAATTTCGGAGGTGTGGAATTTATAGCAAAACAGTCTGTAAACGATTGGAGGGCTTAAGTTTTGGTTCCAAAGAGTGCGGAAATACATGTTATTTGCCGGCTGGGGGGTCCGTATGGTGAAAAACTGTGATCGAGGTCACAGTTTTTCACCATACGGACCGACCCTTAGCCGGTAAATAACATATTTTTTTTTTAAACTTGACGAAATTCTTTCCGAAAGAACCCGAATGATTTAGGGCTGTAAATACGGCAAGATCTTCCATAAACTGAACAATTTTTGAGCGAGTAAATGATTGTTAAAATAGAGGTGATGCAAATTAAAGAGAGATGCCTCACCGAAACATTTTCGTTTGCGTAAGGATAAAGGTGATTTAAAAGGCTTCCTAACAACACTATTTTTACAAGTATCTGTCACAATCTGACACCTGTCAATTAGAGACGCGTAAGAAAAGAAAAAGCGCAAGAACATTTGAAAAACAACGGAACTAGTTTGGCAAGGACTGTTACAACAATGTTTTCTTCAAAAACATAAAAAATTTGTTTTTGGGCAGAGATAGGAAAATACAGACCGGGTAAAGAACCAATCAGATTGCAGGATTCGTTACCGTGCCCTCTAAAAAAAAATAAACATTTTTATTCGTCTAAACTAGTACTTGAGCAAATAAATTACACTAGATTTACATACATAGTACTCGTTCTTAGTCAACGAGCCCATACACTGCTAGTGAAGAGGAAAGATTTACTCGTCCGCTTTTCGTTTAAATCTCTCTCTTTAGGTTTGGGGGCTTTCCCTGCTAGTTCTGGACTCGTGGTAATGTGGTGGTTAACAAGGATTTGACGTAATTTTGTGTCCTTTTTCTTCACATGGTCAAAATGCTGGGAATGGATGTTGAATTCGGAGTGTATTCCTTTAATCCCTTGTTCACCATAGAATCCAAGACCCACGTGCCATTGTCGAAGAAAAGGGCAACCGTGTTCTAGCATATGGAGCTTTGGTGTGATCATCATGTCTGGTAATTTTTCCCTAATGAACTGAAGAAAATTTGTGATGTCTTCCTCTGCAACAAGAAAACAAGAAAAGGTGGAACAGACTTAAGACATGATCTAATTATTGTATTCGTGTTTTCCATGAAAGTCAGGTTTTTTTCTTTCACTTACCTAGCTTATCAATCTTGCCATCATTGAGATACAGTAGTCTGCACTGTCATAGACTAAGTAGCGAGCAGCAGATAACTTGTAAACTTGGTCAAACTTAACACTTATTTCTCTTGCTTGAGAAAGGAAAGAAGGACACAGCTCCTGTTTTTGTCACCACAGCCCTGCATAGTTTGATGATGTTTTCTTCCTACTAAAAAGAAAACGGCAACAATTTAGTAGAATTTTGTGATGCAACAAATGCCTTCTCTAAGGGTAGAATTTGTGTTACCTTGCAGCAAGAGTGTAAATGGCTACTAATGAATGATTTTCCATGGTAAGCTTGTCTTTCAATATTCGTTTTCTTGAGAACCTCGTCTAAATGAACTGATAGTGGTCCATTGGCTTTCTCAAAGGCAGCCAATTCCATTTGTTCATCCACAAGCTTTTCCTGTAATGTTGAGATAACGCTATTTAAATCTGGGTTATTTGACTTACTGTCGATAGGTTGTTAAATTCATTTGAGCTAGTGTTGAATAAATAAATGATCTATAAAACAAAATCATAACTTCTTTAACTAAAAAATTAAGATGAATTTGAAACATGTGTGATGGAATTGGAGGATTGTACAGCTGTGATACTGGAAAACACAAATATATTATTGTTACCTCCTCCTTTGCATTTCCAAGGAGTTTGTCTATCTCCTCCTGTAGTAGTGTAAAGTAGGCAGGCATGATATTAACATTTGCATGCAGACTTTGTAAATTCAGCATCTCCTGTAAACAATTGGCTTTTTCATGAAATTGTTGTGCCTGTCTAGTATGTAGCTGGGTGGCTCTGAATGCCTGAATCTTTTCACTGTTCTCTTCTCTGTCTCCTGCCACCACCCAAGCTAATGTGAAGTCCAAGAACACAAACCTGAAATAGAGAACCATTTAGTTTGGTGTTGTGTATGTCCCTCTTCAAAGGGCGGAAATTGGATTATCTTATCTTTTGTTTTGGAAATGAATGTCTTTATTTTCAACTTAAAAAATATTTTATTACCTGGCCACCCGTTTTGAGAATACTTGCCCCATCCTGAGACTGTGAAAGGAACTGTCGAATGATGAACAATCCAACTTCCTCCATTACCGATTAATAAACTTCCTTTGGGCTAGTTAGTAGTTGATTCACTGACAGTTGTTCCCCACAGGTTGTTGTTGTGCCAGTGGTGGTTGTAAGTTCTGCTTGTACTAATGGTACATTTACCTTTGCTGGTTCCTTTTCCTCTGCTGCAGGTATGGGTTTCACTGGGACAAGGGGGGATGGTTTTGCCGAAACTGATCTTTGTGAAGGGGCTAAGATGTGTTTGGATACTGTGGTAGGGCTTGGAATGCAATATTCTTGATGCTGAGGTAGTTGGAGAAGTTTTACTGTGTGTTTACAAGTAGGACATTGAAAATCTAACTCTGAAAGTATAGAGGGAAGAACAAAAGGGGCTGGCTCAATGAACTCATTAGGATTTACAATGACAGTTCGACACACCGGGCAAAGGGATTCACACATTTCAAAAGAAAGTGACAAACAACTAGCAAAAAATATGTGTGGAGTTGGGCATTTTGTCTGGACTGGTTGATCAAGTACCTCTTTGCAAATTGGGCACCTATACTCATGCTTGATGTTTTCAACAAACTTTTCTTAGTAAAGAGGTCCTGATCCTCTTAAGCTTTTTTGATTCTTTACCTCCTCAGAGAATGAGAGTGTGGCTGGGTCAGGTTGGGAGCTTAAAGTGCCAGACATTCCTTCCACCATTTCCACTTGTTCCTTGGGTCCAGTTGAGTCCTCTCTGGGTTTTATTCCAGGCTTAATCTTTTTCCCACCAGATTTCCGTCGATCTCTAGAGAAACTGCAGATCTTACAGTTGCCAATGCATTTGTGTGGAGGCCACACATTGATTGCAAGGCATGTGCCTCCTCTTAAAACAAGCTTGTAGCACTTGTGGCAGAACAAGGGAGGGCACATGTCAAGGTCATCTTTACGAACTTTGACACCAAAGGCTATGAAAAAAATCTCTATCTTACCAGCGCAAAGAAAACTGTTCTCATACTTATCTTTTGCCTTCTTCAATCGCTCTCCACAAATTCAGCAAATTTTTCCAATATTTGTTGATGTTCAGAAAGGCCAAAGTTATCCATCTGAATGTACTAATCGAACCAAGTTCTAAACTAAACTTGGATTAAGCAACGCAGTTCTAAATTGACGTAAGATATGTCACGAAGTTCCTTTTTCCGACCTTTTATTGCTTCAGAAGGGTACACCCTTAGGGTTGTACCTTGTTTCAGGAAGGGGTGTCTATTTATTTCTATCAGTCGGTTCTTCAGGGGTGCAGGAATATTCACATTCCTGTGTTATTGTGTGTAGTTTATTCCATTTGAAGGGGGAGGGAATATTCACTAAAAACCATATTGATCATGGCCAGGAACAATGATTTCACTATCAGATCAAAGCACAAACAGTAATATATAATTGGAGGATTTATTATCCCTGATTGTGATAGGTGCAAAGAAACCCTCAGCTTCTGAATGGAATGTCTGAAAGGATGAGAAAATGTGAATTAAAACCAGTCAAACTTTTGGGCTGTTAAAATGTAAATTACTAGGTAAAGATTGCTAGCCAGTTCCACCACTAACCCCTACAGGTTAATGAATCAATTATTTCCAAATAAAAACTATATTGGTGAGAACCAAAGACATATGCACTTGGGAACTTTATTTTTCAACAAGCATTCTGTAACAATCTGATGGTCAGACAAGACTCTTATTACAGGCAATAAAAAAGAACTTGTACAACTGATAGTATCTTTGAGAATGAAAGTCAAACTTGTTTCCATAGCCTGTATCCCCGAGGAACAAGACTGAATAAAATTAGATGACTTAACCAAAATAACAAGGAGATCATACATTGTGGCAGAAGTTGTCATGAAACTTGTTCTTGAGAACTACCATGAGGCTTTTACATCTTGAACCCCTAATTATTTATGTAATGGATTGGCCAGTGTGCCAATGAGCCAGTTTGTGAGTAAATGAAGGAACTAGTTTGTCAGTAAGGTGGTCAGTCAGACAGCCAGCCAGTCTGTCATTTGCAGTTCTCTGGTAGGTTGGTCGATCTGTCAGTTAATTTGTTGGTCAGTCATTTATTCAATAACTCAGTCATTCTGTCAGTCAACAACTGCATTCTTCTGTAAGACAGCTAGTTACTCAACCAGACTCCACTCTCACTTCTATCACTTTGTCAAAAGGACACAGGTTAGTTACTGGGTACGAAACAAAGCTGTTGCTTTGCATTGGAAAGAAAAATTGAGTCATGTGACTGGGAGTGACTCCCAGTATCCTAACTTGAACCCAGCTTAGTATGTGAGGACCTTATTTCTTGCCATTATTTCTGGAGCAACTACATTGAGGAGCATACCACTTCCTTTATCATTGGCAAATTAATTATGCACATGTTATAACTGAGTGCATCTTATAACTGTTCAAATACGGTACATTGTTTTCTCTGTCTCATTTCTCATATGTGTCTATAGTTATGCTAATTTCCATTGGCCATGAAGTAATTTTCATTGCACTTCGAAAAAAACCACTGGATTTCTGGCATATCGAGTTAATAGTCAGAGGTCATTTCAAGTTATGTCACAAAACCAAAACCAAAGATATCACAGCAGTCAATCAGAACCAAGGAAAATATCACAAGGAGCAAATGAGAATTCTAAGCAAAGCAAGTGAATTGCTTGAAGCTGGGAAAACACAAGTGATCCTATCTCTATTGGTTTGATTTTGAATCTGATTTTTTTAAGAAAGTGGCCCAATTTTTTCTGGTCCAACCACTCAAGGTAAAACAGAATCACAGCCAACTGGAATAACTTTTGATATTCATGGAAAATTACACTGAAGGTAGTTGAGCTGTGGAGCAGATTTTGTTGTGAATGCAGGATAATGAAGAAAATGCAGCATTAAAGAACAAGCAGTATTACAGAACATACAGTGTTACAGAACATGCAGTATTACAGAACATGCAGCATTACAGAACATGAAGTATAACAGAACATGCAGTATTACAGAACAAGCAGTATTACAGAACATGCAGTGTTACAGAAAATGCAGTATAACAGAACATACAGTATTACAGAACATGCAGTATTACAGAACAAGCAGTATTACAGAACATGCAGTGTTACAGCACATGCAGTGTTACAGAACATGCAGTATTACAGAACATGCTGTATTACAGCACATGCAGTGTTACAGAACATGCAGTGTTACAGAACATGCAGTATAACAGAACATGCAGTATAACAGAACATGCAGTATAACAGGACATGCAGTATTATGGAACATGCAGTATTACAGAACATGCAGTATTACAAAACATGCAGTATTACAGCACATGCAGTATTACAGAACATGCAGTATTATAGAACATGCAGTGTTACAGAACATGCAGTATTACAGAACATGCAGTGTTACAGAACATGCAGTATTACAGAACATGCAGTATTACAGAACTGCAGCATTACAGAACATGCAGTATAACAGAACATGCAGTATTACTGAACGTGCAGCATAAAAGAACATGAAGTATAACAGAACATGCAGTATTACAGAACAAGCAGTATTACAGAACATGCAGTGTTACAGAACATCCAGTATAACAGAACATGCAGTATTACAGAACATGCAGTATTACAGAACAAGCAGTATTACAGATTATGCAGTATTACAGAACATGCAGTGCTACAGAACATGCAGTATAACAGAACATGCAGTGTTACAGAACATGCAGTATTACAGAACATGCAGTGTTACAGAACATGCAGTGTTACAGAACATGCAGTGTTACAGAACCCTAGGTACTAAGCAGACTCCTATGTATCTATAAGCTTGCTATTTGGTTCATTTCTGATATGAAGTACAAGTCTTACCTGGTTCTGTGAGATGTAAGCAAAATGGTCATCGCAGATCAATGATAACAAATCTTCCTGATCCAACTATCAGTAAACCTCTGCATCTCATCCTTGAAGAGGCTTTCAAAAAGTGCACTGAATCATCTAAAATCTATCGAAAACTAAGAAAATTCTTTCAAACGCAATAGATAAAGAATAACCCTTGGTAAAACGAAGAAAACATTCGATTTTCCAGAAATCCCGTTCCTCTTGTGCGACAAACCTTTGTTCCCAGGCGCCCCCTAATTTTCAAAAAACCGCCATTTTGAAAACCGAAAGCTCCTGGGAACGAAATTGTGGCCGTCAACCTTTTTCACCCTGATATCACTATGTACATTCTCCTTACTGTTCTCTATACATTTGATATAGCATTTGATTCACGGGTAATATTGTAGGGAGAAATAGATTCTAGTCACTCTGAGGGTTTAAAGTGTTAAGTTAACCTCCAAAGCCTGAAGGACGATAACCATTTCCCTCTGTGTTCTCAGACATGACAATAATATTTTGTAGCTGAAGTTGATTTAATCCGAGGAATCAAATCTGGGTGAAAATGTCTACCGTGTTTACTTCAAACCGCATTGCGAGACCAAATATGCTTTACCTGGATAAGGGATTAAATGAACAATAACCTATAGTTCGATATAGCCGTTGCGGAAAAGTGCTTAAATATTTGCCTGTGATTATCATTTTTTCCCGTTAAGGATATTCTTCAGAAAGCGAATACTCGGTCACGTGGCGCGTTTAAACCAATCTTACAACACCTTCTCCTTCGTTGAACATGAACCAGTAATTTTTATGAAGATGGAATGGAGCGCTAGAAATGGAAACAAATTCTCGAGAAATAATTCCCATCTGCCAACCATCCCAAGATTTGATGCTTGCCGTTGCTGTCTAAATTCTAATTAGGGGGGAGGTTTGTTCTCCCAGTCGCTGCACTGTATCTCGGGCAACGTTCCACCTTGGTAACAAGTTAATCTACTAAAGAACGCTAATATTGAATATTGAGTGACGAGTGAAAAATCGGACAGTGTGGAGTGTTGTAACGGAGTGCTGAAAGCAATTTGACACGAAGATAAAGCTGCATAACGAAAGAATCTTAAAATGACCCATCCTGCGACTTTGACGTATGCCGGAAAGAATCTGCCGTCTAGGGGATGAATCAATTGCTCAAAGTCTCTAATACCAAGGTCATAACAGTTAAATTCTAATATTCCTTTTTTAAAGTCGGGTAAAATAAAAAAAATTAAAATCAAAATTTAAAAAATGATAAACAAATGACACCACACAATGAAACATTCGTTTTCCTACCACTCCAGACAGGTGTCCCACTGTTTATTTAAGTTTTGTTAAGGTACACATTGTACCAGCCTATTCTACTGCGATTAAAAACCAAAAGAAAATTAAAAACCGGATTATGAAATTATTGCATATGAAAAAATTATACACGAGTAAGTACTTACGCACAAAAATACAGAAAAGAACGTTAAAAAACACGTCTTGCAGTTGAATAAAACAATAAAAATAATTATTCCTCGTTAATTAAATTTAAAACAAACATCTGGGAGGCATTCGTGATCCCGACAAAGACAAGGTCCACTGTTTTTCTCAGTGTTTACCCTCAAATGAAAATAACCTCTTCATTCCCCATCGCCATCACTGTTGTTAGCAATTCTACAATATTGTCTGGGTGTACATCCAGTTTTAAAAGTTCCATAATGTGCTCTAACACTTTCCTGTCCATTTTAACATTCGTCGTCCCTAAAAACTGGAACAGGTCATCAAAATATGCCGCCCTTTCCTTCTTTTGTGATTTTTCATCTTCCGTCGTAAGGCTCGACAAGGATTCTTTCAAGCCTTCAGCTTCAGCCTTTAGTTCTGTGATGTCTTTGGACCGGCGTTTTTTCTGCGTGGAAAGTTCATTTTCAGCGAACGATCCGGTCGCGGAGCTCATATGTTCATCGTTTTTCTCAGCTGATTTCATCTGTAATAATGATCGTAACCGGCAAATATAATTTTTGTACGACTCTGTCGGTTTTTCTGAAACTTTCTCGATGCGTTCAGCGACTGTTTTTCATTACACTGCTGTAAAAAAAAAGCTTGTCGAGATGTAGTTCCAGCCGGTCTTTTCATAAATAAGAAAATCTTCCTCCAACCTCCGCTACAAATCAGCAATTCATGCACATAACCGGGTTTTAATTTGAATTTAAAACGATTTTTCTCGCACATGTAATAATAGCCTCCCAATAGCTTGGCAACCAAAAATTAAGACCGACATGCATCTTTAATGATATAACGGATTAACTAGGCGGATATTTTACGGGTTGCAAGATTTCTTGGCTTTTTGGTGACTGTTTCTCTAGCTTATGCTTTATTTGGCTTAAAAAACCTGTAAATCACGTCAACAAGCCCAAAAGGACCCAGGAGGAAGGCGATGGAAATTGTGTGATAGAAAAGTGTACAAAACCGTCAGGCAACTTTTTGTAGCTGCATGGAGAGCGATCCACTCTCTTAAACGTAGAGGTGTTTCTCTTCAATTTATCACCATTACTATCTTAATTATTGCGTTTTTATCAATGCAAGGTGCAATTGTGGAGTGTTTTTCGGCTTTTTATCGTGGTTTACAAGCCACTGCTCTACGGCTAAACTGAAAGCACCAAATACAGCACAAAATTATTTTCTTCTATGAAGTAAACAAGGTTTAACAACTTTTTTTGGTTTTTTGGTTTTTTTTCAACAACTTCTTTTCGTCGCTTTTCATACATAAATATTACATTATATATTTATATATAAAAGACTAGTCTATCAAAGTCATTTCATTAAAAAGCAATCCCGTGAAAGATCTAGATTATTTAATATAGCCGTGCTCACATCATTGGCATAGATAGTGATTCAAAAAGTCACCATTTCAAAGCACAATCTCGGCCACTTTCACAATCTGTTTACCAATGTTCCCACCTCGCATCATTTCAACAAAGGCCTTCCCAGTGTTCTCCAGGCCCTCCACGATCGTCTCACGATTCTTTAACTTTCCCTCTCGCACCCAGGACTCCAGTTGTTTTTTTCCATCCGGGAGCTTTTCCATGTAATTCAACACCAGGAAACGGTCACGTTTTATTTTCCTAGTTTGCAGTATGTCTTGTATGTCCTGGGGTAGTGGGGGTGGATAAGGAACATCTTTGTTGTAAACTGAAATCTGCCCACATAATACTATGTGACTGTCCTTATTCATGCAGCGAATAACCTAGAACAAACAAAAAGTGAAAAGTATGCTTCATTGGAAACTTTCTTTTGTAACACTTGTGTTCAGGGAACACCTTCATTCAAAGATTTTTGAAACAAAGCTCGGTCTCCACTAAGGAAAACATTTCTAATCTGAAAAATATTTATTACCTACACAAGAGAGCCAACTCTTTCCAAGAGGAGGCACTTTTTAGACTTCCAAGGGACTTTTCAAAATGAAGAGCCTATTGTTTTTCACACAAGAACGTACTTGAATTGTGGCCATTTCTTAGTAATGCACCTATCAATTCAAAGCTTTAACATCCCTTCCCCCTCCCCCACCTCCACATTAATAGCATTTGACTGTCATTCATGTCTGGCAGTTGGGGAAGTTGAACCTTGCCTAATTGAGGTGGGGAACTTGTACTGGGAGTGTCAAGTCTTTCCAGTGGAATATAAGTGTTATATCTAGTAATATGGAGGTGTTAAATGTAAATAGTTTACTTTCGTGAACAAGTGGCTTGGAAGAAAAGATGTACAAGGTCTCAGTTTTAAAGCTTGGTCAATGTGTAGAGAGTCACAGTTGCTGACTTTGCCTTCAAGTTTTACAAAAAAATTGGGTGGGGCATTTGAACATGATTTTGCTCAGGAGACAGGAGTTTAAACAAACCAATCTACAAAAGTTCCATTACTTAGGAGGTTACCCAGGGGTAGGAGGGGGAATGTTGAAGCTTCAAATTGATTGATGCATAAGTGTCCTTCGCAGCCAAATTTTAATAAATCAGAGCTGTTTTCTTTAGTGCAAGCCAATACCAATGACTTACTTTGAGACAAATTTTTTGTGGTCAATTTGATTTTTTAAAATCTTCACTTCAAAACATCTTATATTTTTTATTTGCTAGGTACATCTTTAAAGTAGGTGTTTAAGCTCTGTTGATATTAACTGAAGTTATAATCTCACTGCAATTTTTAATAAACATAATATAAAATATCATATTGAATAAACAAATATAATTTAAGCCACTTGAGAACATTTAGTAATCATTTTTTACATTAGAAATACAAACTCACCTCATCGCTTATTTCCCCTCCAACATTGTCAAAGTAAACATCAATTCCTGCTGGACATTTCATTTTCAAGTGTTCACTAATGTTCTCTGTTGTCTTGTAATTAATTGCCACATCAAAGCCCATCTCTTCTGTCAAGAAGCAGCACTTCTCATCAGTACCACATATCCCAACAACAACACCACAGCCTTCTAGCTTTGCAATCTGAGAAAATAGCAATTACATAACTGTATTACTTCCTTGTGTTGTAGACTTGGGTTAGTGGTGTAAAGGGTAACATGTTCACTGATCAAAGAGCCTCATTCACAGTATCAAAGGGTCATTGAAACTAAAAAATAAACAACTCAGTCAATGACTAGCAACCAAAATTGTCATCTTTATTAAGAGGAAAAGAACTGCATTTAGAAGGACATTGCAAATTGCCTGGTGGTGAGATTGATCACCAACTAATCTTGTAAGAACTGAAGAAAACAAATCCTGAATAAAGGTCAGAAAAGCATAAACTACACCAAAATCTTGATAAGAGATACTCATTAAGAGGTGTTTACTCTTTGGAATCTCAAACTGTGGTTTTGATACATACTTTTTCAGAGTGAAGATAAAAGTAACAAAGTTACCAAAGCAACCTTCTCCTTTTTAAAAGCAATGAGAGGATGGTAATAATTATCTTCTTCTAAGCAATTATCATATGAGTCAGATGTAAAAGATACAATTGACACTAACACCCTTAAAATATAAATGAATGCTTCTGCAGAAAAACAGAAACTTTTTCCAGTCTCAAAGGTAATTTCTCATATGGACAAAAAGGGTAAGCTTTTAAAGAAACTGTGGTGCTGTATCAGTGAGAGAGTATAACAGGGTAATTTAGTGTTGTCAGCTAAGTTGATAAAATGTAAATTGGCCTCTGTAAAGAGTTTTAAAACTGACATTTTGAGTATTAGACCTTCTGCAGAGTGAATGAGGAAGGACTAATGATAGAAACATCAGCTTTGAAACTCTTTATCATGGCCAATTTACATTATCAACTCAGTTGATTGTACTAAACTGGTAATTTTTTATAGTTTGATCACAGCATGCTTCTGTGACTATCAACTATCTGTAACACAAAAATCACTGTTCACCCCAGGAGTGTCTGCCATGACATCATTTCACTGTGCTTTGTGTAGTACTATACTAAAGAAAACTAAAGATATTTTTTTCAGACAGCTGTTTCTCAAATGGTGATCCATTTCTCACCTGTCCTGCAGCCATCCCACAAGCCCCAGCAGCACCACTGATTACAACAACTTGATTGGCACCAGGCTCAATGTGTGCTTTTTCTTTTAAGCCAATATAAGATGTCAGTCCAGTCAAACCCACAATCCCCAGTAACAGAGATGATTTAGCACAAAGGAATGGGCTTTCTTCCTAAATAGTTAGTAATAACACATCAAAGCTAGTTCTCAATAAAAATAACAAAAAGTACCAGAAATAAGTAAGAAGATTTTTTAGCATTATTCACATCAATATTAGGAAGTGTACCTTTTATTGATAAAGTGCTTGAACCTCAATGCAGTAAAAAGTGAACCCTTTCAATTTATAATTAATATGTATCTCTCTAATATTTCTCATTAACTGTTTAAAGTCCTTTTGCCTTAGTGCAGTCATAGTGCAACTGGTTCTCAAGAACATTTGAAGATAAAGGATAAAATTGATAGTAAGCAGAAAATTAAGATAGGTTATGGGCCAAGAAGAGGAGGGGAGTTAACTTGGGGGCCAGTCTTCATGTTCACAGTGAACTCTTAATTTCCATCAAATTAATACATGTGTGGTTAGACATACTTACCATCAAAATAAAAATTAAAAATAAAAAAAAATTCAAACGTATTTGACTAAGCGGAAGTTGGCTGTTATACCCTCTACTTCAAATTCACGACAGATGACCTCAATTTATTAACCAATATACCTTTTGCAATGTGGGGTCTCCAGAGACAGGAAAAACTGAAAATTCTTGCCATGGCCATCCACCCGACTGCACAATATCCCCTTCGTGAAATTTCTCGCTTCTGCTATGAATCACCTGACCCACACCTCCTCCACTTGGCGCCTCTCCAATGGACCACGGTGTCAAATAGTTCGATCCAGAATCCTCATTCATTCTGCATCTCATATAAGGATCAACAGATAAATACAATGTCTTCACTAAGATTTCGCCCTCTTTGCATTCTGGAATTTTTCTTCTTTCCAGTGCGAAGTTCGATTCGGATGGTGGTTTGTCTACTCCTGGGCGACTGTGAAGAACGACAACATTTTGAGTTTCTGCCGCCATCTTAGCTTGATGGCCCGCAAGGGCATGGGGAGAGATCTTACCGAATTACAATTTGCTTTCTCAATAGGATATTCCTTGATATTACAAAAAAATGTCATATTTTAGTAAAGATCCCACTTTACTTCAAAAAAGTTCTCTTTTTTTTTTGCAGGCGTTACACATGTCAAGTTTGTTCTGCTTATATTTTTCTAATGTCTGTTCTGAGTTTTTCCTTCTTTCTTGATTCAAGAATCAACTTGTTATTTGCTATTTGCCCATGTGATAACTGAATTGCCTTTTTTTTTCACCAACCTGTTTTGAAGGCCTTTGAAGTTTTTTATTCTTTCGACAGCTAACCATTCGATTTTATCATATATGGCTCCTGCTTTCGAAATTCTCTTCAAAGTCGCAGACTGCATGACGGATTCATTTTCACCTTAAATTGACTAATAGTCAACTCCACTTATTCTTCAATCGATCAATCGCGTGCTTATCAAAGCGTGGTGATTCTTTTGAACTTCATATCATGACAATCACGATTTACTCGCGAACAAAACCAAAATTAAATCTGTCCCCGAGTAGTATAGAATCAATTAATTTTTTTCCCGGACACCTATTGAGTCTCAACCTGAATGACCTTTTTAATATTATTTAGAAATATGTTAACCCAGGCCAACGTCTCTGACAAGAATTTTAAAAATCATTATCCAAAATCTTTTGTTAAAATTCATACGCCAGCTCGGTATATCTTTTCAAGTTGAGCTTAATGTGTTCTGTCCATTAATATTTTATATCCAAAGCTCGTCGCCAGAATTCAGCCGTTTATCTTTAAACATCTTCCGTTGGGAATCATTAATATGGAAACATTTGCGCCTGTGGTTTTAACTATGACAGTTATCGCTTCACGCGCGAGAAAAGAATTACCTTCCCTTAAATCGTACGCTGCAATCAGGAAAAAAAGGAAAAAAATCAAATCGATCTGTGTCGTCAGTGAGCGGAAAATAAATCTTCTTTATCTGGATTAAACAAATTTTAAATCTACCTCTTGCAACTACGATGCCTTTTTAGCTAGAAGAAAAGAGCGATTAAATAGGCGGCAAATAAATCCGATACGAGCCGCTCACGGAATCTAACTCCTTAATTTACACCGTTGGCTGATTGACTTCGCCTCAAGTAAAAATTTTTCTTAACCAAATTAAGGGTGTTCAACTTCCGACACTAAGTTCTAATTAGGTCCAGAGAGAAACAACAGAACCATATGATCTACACAGTTACGAATAATTGTGCCTTTTGGAAAAGCGAACGATTATCAAACACACTTATAGCTCATTTGGCTCCATGATTCATGTTGATGCATTAAGCTCCGTGGAATTTTTTTCCTGGTCAAGAAATTCCCCAAAAAATGACAATTTCCTACATATTTGCGATTTCAGTGTGAACAAAAACGTTTATATAAAAAATTTACATCTCTACCGAAGGATCTAGAGTTCAGAACAAATCAGAAAAGCTTGGAAATCATATCGAGGAATCAAATATGTCAAAAATCGCGTGAGGTTAACAACTGTATTTTCGTTCCGCCCTCAAAATCTCTTCAATCTCTCTTCAAAGCTCATTCACACTTTGGAAATAACACTTGCTTTTAGCGCGCGCTGTATCAAAAAAACAGCGCAGCGTTTATCTCATCTTTAGAGCGCTGCGATAGCAGAGCACTTTGAACTTAAAACATCGGCATTTTAGCCGTGTTTCCGACTTGATGTCTTCCGCTCCTAAGAAGCTCGCGTTGGTTTTGTTATCTACAATTATTGCCTGCAGCGTGTGGACTTTGCTTTAAATGACGGCTCAGAGATTGCGCATTCATTCCGGCAGCAAGACGAACGAAGGCAGCTTGACTTTGAAATCAGCCATGGCTTGCCCTCCATATCCACCCGAAGTATCCTATGCGCCTTTTCAGCAAATGGTTCGCGAGACGCCCATTTCAATGATGCCTTCGCATCCCACTTCTCTACCGCCAGTAACTCACTGCAGTAAGATGGACCCGCGAGCGAATATCCACGTGGCATCTCCATTTATGCTAAACCCTATGGCTAATTTTGACAGCGATCCCAGTATGTCAGCACCACATCACGGCTTGGGTTTTGCCATTGACACTTCAAAACTGCGCGAATTGGAGGAGTTCGCGACTCAGTTCAAACTCCGCCGCATCAAGCTGGGTTTTACACAGACGAACGTTGGCGCAGCATTGGCAACAGTCCACGGAACAGATTTTAGCCAAACCACCATCTGCCGCTTCGAGAATCTGCAACTAAGCTTTAAGAACGCTTGTAAGCTGAAGCCGATTCTGGCGCGCTGGCTTGAAGAGGCTGAATGTTCTGGAGGGGCGTGTGGTGATAAATTCAACGCTGAACGCCGTAGAAAAAGACGAACCACTATCGGTCTGACTGCTAAGGAACATCTTGAAGATCATTTTCTTAAACAACCAAAACCATCTTCCCAAGAAATCGTTCGCATTGCCGAGGGATTGCGCCTGGATAGGGAGGTTGTGCGAGTGTGGTTCTGTAACAGACGGCAACGGGAGAAAAGAGTAAAGACGTCACTGAGTATTCACGGCTTCCTTGGTTGTAAAAACGATTGACTAGTGTAAGAACATAAACAAGATTGAAGCAACTACGAGTAAATTACTTAAACTTCCTCCGTGGTTAGGCAGGTTATCGTTGTTTGTTTGAACTACTGCAAACTTAATGTTGTGTATTTGAATACTTTAAAAGAACTCGTGGCTGTACATAACTGAATGAGCGATAAAGGCGAAATAACACGGTATAGCCTCCTTATTTTTTAAAGGCAATTCATAACGAGTTAACATTTCTTTATTTGTTATAAAAATGGTTACAAAACTCATGGAAAACTAGAGTTTTCTATGCATAATGTACAGAAGAGGCGTCTTTTCTTAGACCAGAAAGAGCACCTTATCATTTAACTTGTTTATAAGCTCAGTATATTATTAAAATGAATTAAATTGAAACAGTTTGCGCGCTCGGAATGACTCCCCAGGCTAGTAAAGTTGTCCCTAAAAGTGTTTATCTTTACATGTATTCAGAAATGAAACGTAAACTAAATCGCGCAGTAGTTAAGTTTTAATTGCGCGATGCAAATATAAGGCGAGTCATGCTTGATCAAACCAAGCGATTTATATAATGGAAGCATGTATGGTCGAGATCGAAATAAAACGTGTTCATTATTTGAAATTAAGTGAAGGTTAATGGAAAGTTGTTTTGGTTTCCTTCAGAAGCTAATCTGCTTCTAGAGACATCTAACCCATACGAATTCTTTACAGTAACCGAAATAAGACTGTTTACAAGAAACACAAATGAAATAACTGTTGTTTTTCATCATTAGCCATAGAACAAATTGGACCGTTTCAATCTGCCCTTTGTCTGGAATAGTTCTTCAAGAAGAAAAGCGACTGCTTTTCACAGTTATTTATCGAAGAGGAGATTGGCCTATCATCTTGGCCGCGCAACCTTAAAATTATTTATGTTTTTAGAACTCTCTAATCAGCTCTGAATCTCTTGTTCTGATACGTGTCAAAAAAACATCCGCGAACTCAAAAAGGAACCATTAAAGTGTCAGACTCGCAGTGTAAACATTGTATTGTAAATTTAGTAGAGGTTCATACATTTGAATGAAGGTCTATAATGTGGGTAATTAAGGTGTGGACCTGGGTACCGAAAGAAATGTCAGCTTGCTAGCTGAGCTTCTTTAAACAGGAGGCTGTCAAACTTGTGGGATGTCGCTGAAAAATATTATACAAGATGTTGTGAAATAGCAAGTTGAAAAACAGAATGTGCACAAAGACGCCAATAAAAGGCTGCCTGAACAAGAAGAAAAAAGTATGTAACCATTTATGGCGCTTTAAGATTGAGTCACATGAAATTTACGGCCGTTTGACTAATTTTTCGTTTCTCAGCCTTGCCCACGAAGAGGCCAATGCCAATGCGTCGATCAATTCGAAGCTTTAACATCCCCTCTCTTCGGGCAACTCCTTTCCCCTGGGCATTTGAACTTTTAATATTGGTTCGTTCAAATTTCCGTCCCTCTGGGCTAAAATTTGTGTCAGTCAAATGCCCCACCCAAGTGCAGGATTTGATGGGCAAGTTTTTTGTAAGAGGCAAGATCCGTGACTTTCTTGTAGGCCCTTACTTTTGAGCCACGTGCTCGCAAAAGGATTTTAAAAAAGGGGTCATGGGATAAAACACGTATATTCAACTGGAAAGACCACTGGTGGCAAGTTGACTCATGTACAATCATCGTCTAAGACTCTTTCTCTGAATTTCTAAGGTTGTTTGAGACTTCTTGATTGAGGAGCACACCTCTAAAGGTATTTCTCGAAACGCTGAACGAAATTGGCTTTTAAATTTCCCAATTCAGTGGCGACGATCGATGAGTTGATTAATTAGTGCTCATATTTCTCAAAATGTGCCTTGAATTCGCTTCAAAACGCTTTCTTTAGGTTTAGTAACTTGACTATTTTGTGAAAACTGTGTCCAGGGGAGCTAAAAGATCGAGTCTTTTCATTCTCGTTTTACATAATTGCTTGAAGATACAACGTTTATATCGATGATTCATTCGGAGATGTACCAAAAATTAGGTAAAAGGGAGATTCAAAATTCCCCTGCCGTTTGATACTGTTATTGCGACATATTTGCGACATTTGCAAATCTTTATATCAGCGGTATCCTGACATTATGACAAATGTCACACAAAGTGTTCTGCCGTGATCAATAGTGTTTACGAGGCCGGCTATCGTTGCTCATTCAGACCGTTTTGAAAAATTGCTTGAAGCTAAGACAATGAAATCGATGATTCATTTGGAGACAGATACTAGGAACACTCTAAAGTAGTCAAGAAGGGGATTTCCTTGTTGTTTTGATGCTGCTGTTTTTTAATTTCACATCACTACGACAATAACAATTTGATTTATTTCAGCGGTTATATCCTGTGTTATTGCACGTCACGTAACTAAATATGGCACACAAATCAATCGAGTGATTATTTACCCGCGATCGCTGGTTCGTCAATGGGCCAACGCAGCTTATTAGCAATTCCGTTAGTTTTACATAATCACCTCCAGATACAACATTAACAGCTATGATTCATTTGGATACAGCCATGGGTAGAACCACAATGCAGGCCAGGGGAAGATTCAAAATTTCCCTGCTGTTTGTGGTCTTGATCACGTTCGTTTTGGCGACATGTTCAATTTCATATTACTTGACAAGTTATTACCATGTAAAATCTTCGCTAATCGCAGGAGTCACAAATGTGCAGAAGAGCCACTACATAAATATTCAAACCTGGGAAGGTAGGTCCATCGGTGAACACTAATTCATTTGTGTGCCTTTTAGAAAACTGTAGGGAAGAGTTTCCGGTGTGCACATATTTGTGATTTGGTTTTGGAAAGAACTCCGAATAACTCTATGTTAATTGCAAAACGAAGCCGTTGTCCCAGAGGTAATTTCTTATTTTGTCACTGATTTCTTTCATCCAAGCACTACATTCATAAGTATTGGGATATACAGAAATCTTGCGGTGATTTTTAAAGGCAAGAGTTTTATCCTATGCTTGATGGTAGATGATCTCTTTCGGAAAATAAATGTAGCTTTTTAGCCAATACAACAAACAATGGTTGAAAATAGGTTAGAATTGGCTTTTGTCAGCTTGCCTGACAACGAACCAAAGCGATAAATATGAGTGGGGAGGCTAGATTGGAAATTGCCTGACCTGTTCCGATCACATTTCTTTCTCTCTATCATCGGATTACAGATTTAACTGTCGTGATCAATTTTATCTCAAATTCGTACACCTTGATTTCAGAATTTACATGCTGCAGAAGCGAGATTTTTAATCAACAGAAAGTCATTAATGAAATATTGTGATTAATTGTTTTCCAGTCGACTTGTTTTTATGCGTAACTCTTCTTTAAACGAATTCCCTAGATTTTAAGAGAGAGTGCTCTCATTTTTCTCTTAAAAATAACATTTTAAAGGCTTTTCTTGGGAGGTTCTGCGGTTCGTCAGTGAAAATACTTAGTTATTTAAATCCTAACATTAAAAAACCTTAAAACATATGGATTTCCAGGGTTTTTAGTGGGTTCCATAACAACAACAGGAGGCTATTAAAAGGAGAAATCACGCTCTTGGACCGGCACTACCGATTTCATTGATTTACTTGTCATCAAATCAAACAGTTGACACGGCTTTTAACAAAGAGTGGTTTCCTTTTACTCAGCTCTTGTGGTTTTTCCAAACCAACAGTCTGTTGATTTATCGTTACAGTGGGTGACAACGAGATATTTTTCCGATGAATTTTTAATCGTTTGACTGTCCTTTTAATTTCTTTCACGTCAGTAAAGATCATTTGAAAAAAAAGCAAATAACAAACATGGCAAAGTACAGGATTGCCAACATTCTATGGGCCATACTGTCACAGGTCCTTTTCTGATTGAAAGACATTTCTCTGGACGTAGTCGCAATTTGCCTGTTATCCTTAAATCGGCGGTGAAACACTGATTTTCTTCGATTTTGGCATTTTATAACAAACAAGTTAAACCATTGGATACACGTGGGAATTAATTGAAAAACGGCTTCCAAATTTAAGCAGCTGCTTCGCAGGGACAACGTTCACATTTGTTAATTAAAATTTTTGGCGAATGTGTGTTCTCCATAGTATCTAAGGGGTTAAAGTAAATCGATGTTTAAAAGCTGTCAGAAACACAATTCTGAAAAAACAGAATAAAATTGTTAAGACGTGGATCGGTCAATGCAAAAACGCAAGTTGATCATCAAATTCTGCAAATAAGTCATCGCAGCGGATTTCCCCTACACATTTCAACCGACGCCATTTTACTTCTATTGACGCGAAGCTCTTTCTGTGTTTATCAATTAAATCGGGTTCCAAGGGCGAATATCAGAGGCAAAAATGCGAGACTAAAATGTGGTGCAAGCCCGAGTTTTTAAAAATTGGACCGTTACGCCATGTTTCATGACGTCATGGTAAAGACAAAGCTGTCTATGGCCCGGACTATTCTGGGATGCTCGTAGGCACCACTACGTTGGTTGGTTCATTCAGTGCTGTTATGATGAGTTTTAATGAGATCCTGGGGAAAAAAACCCTCCATGATACATTGTAGGAGAGAAGACAAAACCATGATGCTCCGTCGGTGGGGGAGTATAACAAGATGATTCGCTTTTATCAATTGAGTTGGTGATGTAAATTGGCCACCGTAAAGAGTTTCTAGGCTGAAATTCGAGCGCCCTTCGTCAGAGCCAATAACTCGTTCTGAAGAAGGGCGCTTGAAACCTTAGTTTAGAAACTTCTTACGGTGGCCAGTTTACATTATCAGCTCAGTTGATAAGACCAAATCATCTTGTCATTTCATAATCCATTTGCTTCCCGGGGGGGGGGGGTGAAGGGGCTGTAACCAGCAAACGGCTATGGGATGGAAGAACAGAAAAAACCATCCCCCCCTCCTTAGCAGACATTCATGCATGTTAAAAAAAAGGACGGGAGAAAATTCACAACGAAGACCCCTAGAGAGTGACGCACCCCCCCCCCTTCCCCATGACAATATCATAGTCCATTTGCTTCCTTGGGAAGCTGTATCCAATAAAAGCCGGCAAACACCTTCTTTCATGTTATGCCTTTCGTTTTGACTCATGAGTATGTTTTTGTCTCTAGATTTTTCACCTGTGAAATCAACACGAAAAGTGGTAAGTGCCATAGAGTTATTCCATATCATAATTTTGCCTCTGCAAATATCCTTATCCTTAAAAATTCACATAAACATATAAGAGCGAATTCATTCGTTTGCCCTTTCAGACGCAAGATCTGAAAGCTCATTGTCCTTGCTAACGACAGCGAAAAGTGGTCAGAAATTTAACTCAGTTTTGAAGCGCGATTCTGTCTCTTCAGCAGCTCGGAGGTGAATAGGAATTGTTAGTCACTTCCGAACTGGTTAATTAGCGCGCGCGAAAAGCACTTTTTACCTGTGTGGCATCTACTAATGTTCAATGGTTCGTTAGCAAGTTTGCTTGTTTCCTCTCATAACGTATTCATCCAGTTCATTTCTTCCTAGTGGCTTGGCTCTTTTTTCCGGTGACTTTCCGACCAATATTGATTATCACTAAACAATCATGTGTTTTCTTCTTCTGTGCTGCAGAAAAGAATTATTTACAATAGAGTAGGAAAATGTGGAAGCCGCACCATGATACAGCTCATGATCAGTCTCACAGGAAAACTCAATTATACAGTGATTGGATCAACCAAGAATAATATTCTACATCTAAACCTGCGAGAACAGGTAACGATTACCTCTTTTATTTAGCATTTACACAAATCAAAACCTGGAGAGATTTCGAGAATTAGTATCTCGTGTTCTCCCAAACGAAGTCCCAAGACCTCCAGAAATCCTGAAGTTTCTCCATGCACAAGCCGTCGTCGCTCACTAACCACGCTGGTGGGATCTGGATTCGTGATAACCGCACAGGTGTCTAAGTCGTGGCTCTCAGTTAGGGTTAATTAAGACAAACATAGCCTCAGCAGAGACTCACAGAGCTCATTTCAATTGAGTATCGCAAAACCCAAACCAACACTGAAAAAAGTAAGCACCTGTGGCGATGAAAATCGTTACTAACTTAGTCACGATTGGTTCTAAGAAGTCTTGTACTTGATTGGTTGGGAAGATTGCGCGATCTTAAAAGACCAATCATGATCACAGAGCGAGGCAAAGTCAAAGCAATGCAATCCCGGATTACTTTGCGCGTTTTAGAGAATTTGAATGGTTCACATGTCCTTTTTTCTTCTTTTTGTTTTGTTCTTGTTTGAATGATGGAATATCAAACCTTTACGATTTCAGCTTGAACTTGTGGACTATATAGATCATCTTCAGTCACCAATCATTTATCATCACCACATACATTTCGTCGACTTTAAGAGGTGAGAACTCCTTCATCGCATACTTTGAGGCATAATTAAGATAACCATTTGAAAGAGAAACCCTTAAAATAGCTTTTAAAAGAATTAATCGCCAACTAGAGCTGTAGCCATACATTTGTAAATTTGATTCAAACCTTCAACATCATATCAGAATAAAACTTAATCTTTTTCAAACTAATGATCCATTGATAATAATTAATAGATACCACGCAGGTTATTGTTGCGTTTCTCGCGCGCTTGTTAACAAACTTGGGATTAATCAGCTAAATCTGAAGACAAATGCGCGTGGCAAGAGTTTAGTTTTCGACCATTTTTTGGTACCTAGTGTGAAATAAACTGATTTTTCTTTTCTTGCGTGGTAAATATTTAAAAAATCATTCACTTCAGTGTCGACGAAAGTGGTGAATATTTGTTAGCTATCGATTTCCTGTTGAAAGGCGAAGGTCACAAACTACCCAACGAATCTATCGGTCGAAACTTAATAATGAAATAACCTTAAAAACTACTCTTTTACTACAAGAAGTGATTAACCTTTCAACATCGAGTTATAATTTAGGTAAAATGTGATATGAATCGAAAGCTTATTACCTGGAGGCCTTTATGTTGCTAGAACGTTAGCCTCTCTAACCTAATTTTAAGGAAAATGTATACAATTAGTAAGTGTGCATCAATCAAAGCTTCATCATTTTCCCGCCCCAACCCAGGCAACCCCCGGGCACTTGAACTTTTGATTAGTTCGTTCAAATTGTCCCTTTTGCTGCCGATTAATAATGGTAATAGGACCGAGTGGAGTCCAATTCGGTCTGTGATTTTACGAGTGATTAACAAAATCGGACGACCGTGAAGCAGGAATCCAATTTGTTAATCACGAGTATGATTACTGACAGAATTGGACGACAAGAATTCCTGTTACCAATTAATCATAACCATTTCAAATTCGAAAAAACAAATGCACCAGGAACAAATTTCTCCAGTGAAGACAGTGTCTTAAGTTAAAAATGCCTCCATTTTGGAAATTCCCCAGTTTTTCTTTGGATAAGTGGTTGTTTCTGTGGTTATTTTGATCATTTCTGTAACACGTGTATTACATTGAAAAGACTTGACTTGTTCAAATTCCCCACCTCACCCCACCCCACCCCACCCAAGTAAGTTTCGAATTCCCCACCCCTGGGAACGGACGATAGACAAATGTTCTTGGGTTGCCTGTAGCGGAGAAGGAGTTTTAAGCTTTGAGTTGATCGGTGCGTTAGCAGTCAAGAGCTGAGCACGTATCTATTCTTCACCCCAGGTTCGGCGCAGTTCAACCTATTTACATTAACCTCATACGGGATCCACTGGCTCGTCTTGTCTCTTCATACTACTTCCACAGATTCGGGGATCATCGAGGGGCCCAAAGAACATGGGGCTTCAAAGGCACAGAGGAAGAGAAAAATATGGTTTGCGTTGTACTAGCTACCAGTTTCTCTTGCGGCCGTTCTTTGGTATGTCATGCCACGTTCTCAGTTTCCACTTCTTATTGGGGGAGGCGTTGCGTGACATTCCAAAGAACAGGGTAATTTTGTGTAATCAACTGAGTTGATAACGTAAGTTGAACACCGTAAAGAGTTAAAAGGCTGACGTTTCGAGCGTCAAGCGCTGTCGCTCTCACGAAGGGCTAACGCTCGAAAGGTCAGCTTTTAAACTCTTTACGGTGGCCAAATTACAATATCAACTCAGTTGATTACTCCATCCAGGAGTTCAATTAAGTTTCGGTAAACTGCCATGGAACCCTAACGAAATGCTTCAGGGCGACCAAACGGTGGACTGGCATAGGGGACACTGGTTATAATCCTTATCGTTTAGAAAATGATACTGAAACTGGGATAAGTCCCCGGCTGGATGGGTTTCAGGCTCCTAAGCTGACTTTCACTTTTTTCTCCTCCTCCACCCCCCCCCCCCCCCCCCAAAAAAAAAAAGATCTTTCACCCCTCGGCTGAGAGAAGTCAACATAAACTCAATTGAAAAACTGAAAACAAACGCGTTTAACTTCCTAAAAGCCCCACTTATTTTAAAAGTAACTTTTTATTTTGCCTGCCTATTTGTCTCTCTTTAGACATTTGACGAATGCGTCAAAAATGAAATGAAAGAATGCGTCGATCCTCAAAGGATTTTGTACATCATTCCTTATTTTTGCGGCCATGAAGCCTTCTGCAGGTGAGAACAGTTATTTCGACGAGTGAGTCGCAATGTGTTTAACTCTGGGTAGGAGATAACAGCGATTAACCTACTTAAGGTCTGACACACAAGTTAACGATGCTTTTCGTATGCGTTGATTAGCAAGTTTGGAGCTGATCAGCCAATTATTGTTAAGCATTACACTTATTAAACTTTTTCTAGTCTAATATCAAACAGTTGTTCACCTACATCTGGGTGTAAATAGAGGATATTTGCCTATATATATTGTGGGAGGAAAAAGACAAATAAACTTCAAGTTCATCTTTACAAGCCTGTTTCGTGGTTGCCCACTCATCAGGGGATATAATGAGAATAATCTTTACCATCGCTTATATACAATATAATCTAATTTCTGCAGCACAAAATTTAACAGTTTAGTTGTTGCGTAGGAGGGCTTTGTTTCTGTGGCGGCAGGAAGACACGAGTTCATTACGTTTGTTTAGTGTTGATAGTTCGGGTCGGCAGATGATTAGGAATTTTTAGTTTAGTTTAGGAATTAGTTTATTTGTCTTTTTTCTCCCACAATATATACATCGCTCTACTCCTATGTATTGAGCACTGTTTTACGAAAGTCAAATTTTGCACTTTATATATATATCTATATTTATAGAGGTAGTCATAGGTAGCCACAATGAAGTATTTGTTTGTATGTCGAGTCAGCCTGTCACTGGAGAAGACTTTTACCTTTAACCAAATCCCTCTTGATTTTCAACCTAATCTCCTTCCTTTTTGTTTATGACTAGGAGACCTACCGAACTAGCTCTTACACAGGCCAAGATAAACGTCATTAGAAATTATCTGGTTGTGGGTGTTACTGAGGAGTTGGAAGATTTTCTGTTTGTTCTTGAGAAACTTTTACCAGAATTTTTCTCGGGTGTGTTAAACATCTACAGGACTCCAGGTCAGTGTGTATCAAAAAAAAATTAAAAAAGAGAAACATGCCGGACGCAGAACTACTCTATCACTGTCTTGAGCAATTCACTAAGACACGTCTGTTGAAAAACAGTAAGGAAGTTTTTTTACACACTAGTTACGAAAACTCCATTATTATTAGAGGGTTGCCCTTCTTTAGGTTAAACAAAACTTGTTACAATGACTTACTTAAACGTTACGAACGTCAGCATTGACATGGTATGGTAGTTAATCACGCTTTAAGCATTTTCCTTTGAGTTTTCGTTTGCTCGTTGTGACATTTTTGTTTCCGGCTTCTGATTGGATGTTATAATTACTGATGTTATGGTTCTGGGACACTCAGTTAAAATGCGTCAAAATGATGGGGATAAAGCGTGAGACACTGGGCACATATCTTATGTAAAACATTTACTTTTTCAATTTTAAGTTTCCTAAATCTATTTTACGTTTTTTTTTTTAAGACGATAACCTCAATTCCAAGATGACATCAACTAAAACCGTGAATAAGATAGGACCTTCTCCCGAAGTACAACAAATAATGAAGAAACATCTGCAGTTAGAATACGACTTTTATGAATTTGTAAAGGATAGATTTCATAGACTGAAAGCCGAACTCAGATAACAAAACCATCTAGTTGTTGGAGGCATGGTGCATTTGTATATCATCTATGTATTTCGGTGCTTGGTAATTATCATCCATCAGAGAGACGCAAATCTTATGACCCCTCAGACGACTGATATGGGAAAGATGGTGCAGAAAGCTTCGATTAAGATTGTCCGAAAAATTAACTATGAGTTCGCCAAGAAGTTGATCTTCATGAACATTGGATAACCTGAATTTTAATTTGTATAAAAATGTATCAGAACTCCAGGTTTTATCTAAAGTTATCATCCAATAATTATTCATGACTGCAATTTAGGATTGTAATTTCATGGTTTGAAACTTTGGGTTACCTTCATAAATGTCATGGTTATTACAAGTATATACATAAACAGTGGATAGCAAGGTTTTGTGCTAACTTATCTCACTGTTTCAGTATACATTAAAATAATTATTCAACTCAGTGTCGCTCGCCAGCGGTGGATATTTACCACTTTAACCCACCTCTACTTCGATGAATTGTTGTTTATCATTGATATTGTCGTTAATATTGTTCTTAATTTTGCCATTAAACAATTGTTATTGTTGTTATTATTATTAATGAATTATTATTAATGATACCATTACTACTGAATTATTGTTGTCATTATTGTTCTGAAGGTGATTAATTTGGCAGCTAAAGGGGTTTGTGTTCTGCTGAAGTTGAGCGGAGTAGAGATAGGCCGCCTGGAGAAAAAATTGCTGTAGGCTTAGCTGTAATTGTAAAGGTAGTAAATAAGTAAGTAAGTAATTTATTTAAACACGTAAACACCTAAGAGTTAACAGAAACTCGTTCGAACGTGCACGTGTGGAAAAAAAATTACAAAAACCTAAGTGAGAAACTTTAACTACCTAAGATGTAATACCTATTACATTAAAAATACATCATTATATAACAATCTGTTATTTTTGAAAGAGATAAAATTTGACATGAACATTTAGAAAAGTCACAAACTATAAAAAGGAATAAAATAGATTAGAGAAAAATAATAATGATAAAATAACCTAATATAAGGATCCTAAGTTGAACTTATGAAAAGCCTTTTTAAACTCTTTAAGATTGTCTGAGTTTCTAATGTATAACGGTAGCTTATTCCACAGCTTGCAAGCTATAAGTGAAGAGGATTTATGCATCCACTCAGTGTTAAAATGAGGCTGTATCAAGTTACTTCCCTTACCACTTAGTTTATAACATATGTCCCTCAAATTCAGAAAATCGGCAATGTACTTTGGACCTATTGAGTTAAGACATTTATAAGTCAACACCAGAGCTTGGTAATAACGACGATGTTTCAAAGTATTCATGCCAACGATACTCAGTAAAGTTTCGTGGCTTTCATTCTTTGTCCTAAATAGAGTTGTTAAGATATAATAGTTAGCATCTTCTAGTCTATCGCTCTGCTCCTTACTAAGACAGGCTAAAACTGCATTACAAAGACAGATATTCGTTTTAGGAGCTGAGGTCTTGTAATAAATTCTATGTAACTTTGCCGAAATACGTTTCATTGTTAGAAATCTTCCTATCCAACGTTAGTCCTAGAATCTTGAGAGTAGACTTCACTTCGACCTTCATGCCGTTGATGAAAAGGTCCCACTTGTGTGTAGCCGAGCCAGGGATCATAGTCTGTGACTTGGTGTGACTTGACTGTGACTTTAATTGACAGTAAATTTTGCTCGAACCATGTAGACAGCGTGGACAATTTGTTATTTACCATGAACTGTAGAGCTAAAGATGAATTAAGTATCAGAATTATATCCAGTGGTGTCATCGGCATATAGTCTTAGTGTCATGTACGGGATACTGTATTTGACATCGTTTATGTGCATGCTGAATAACAATGGCCAAGCAGAGATCCCTGGGGGACAACTGCCATGACACATTTCCATTCAGAACAAATACCCTCAGTCGTTACCCTTTGGCGTCGTTCCTTCGATTACTCTCCAATTAAATCGGTTACAGTAGTTTAAAAGCCGTAGGCTTTTAGTTCAGCAAAAAAGAGGTTATGATTGACACTATCAAATGCTTTGCTGAGGTCCACTGCGACAACTGCAACAGAATCTTCAGCATCCAGGCTAGCACGTTAGTCCTCTGTCATCTTTAATGTAGCAGTAGAGCAGGAATGACTCTTTAACAATCCAGAGAGATTTTGAGAAAGCAAAGGAGCTATTTTAGCATACATCTGATCAAAAATAGCATTCTCAAAGACTTTTGAAAACGTAGTCAAGATGGAAACAGGGCGAAAAATGGATTTTTCAGATTTGCTGCCCTTTTTATGTACAGGAATGATAATACTGCTCTTCCACTCAGTGAGTATTGACTGAGTCGTGATGAAATGACTGATTTGATAAGTCACTTCACCTGTAACGCTCGGCGCAGATAGGCGTAGTAGGCAAGAGAGATGTTGTCAATACCGACCGACTTGCTGGAATCGAGGTTTATTAAGATGTTTTTAATGTATTCAGTGCCAACTGTGTTGAATGAAAAATCATGTAACCGATCACCACCCGTTGTTCATTTTACACTGGAGTGGGAGTCTTGATCGTCGACTTCCAAAACATCCGTATCGTGATTTGCAACATCAACAAAATATGAATTAGAGCATTCCCGGCGCTATAGATCGTGAGTCCGTGATAACATGATCTGCCTCTACCAGGATAATCCTATTCTGAGACTTGTAACTGCTTTCCTTTTCAATGATCTAACTTTGTCTTCGATTGTCTTGTAACACAATGTAAATAATACACTTGGTGTTCCTGAGTCACGCCATGGAATGCCCTCGAACATTTTTTTCGGATGATGTAATGCTACCAGAATAGTGGTGTTGTTACGTTTACGAACGGCCGAATGTTCTAGAATATTTCATAATTGTATATAAGGGCTTGGGCTCCTATGGCAGTTGTAGATGTTCTTATCGTCAGAAAGTAACTGTTAGAAGCAGTTAAGCTATTCTCAGAGAGCTAAAGAGAGCTACTGTGGTTTCTTTAAAGTCGTCATCGAGCGATTTGTGTGGTGCTTTGAGACTGGAGATTTCAGTGGAGACATTTTAACATTTACAGTGAGTTCAAGTCAGTCGTGACTGAATTGTTAGTTAGAGGTGGACCTAATTTCATTGTTCTCGTGAATTGTATTATTTGAGAGTCGCTCTTTTGTGATTCTAACCTATCTACACGAGTGTTTTGTGCAGGGTGTTTAGTCACCGTATCTTTTCTGTCTCTTGTAATATAAGTTTGAGTATAGGATTTGAGAATCCATTGAATAGTTTTCATTCTTAGATACTGTGGTTATATGTTGAAATATTGCTATGAAGACTTTGGTGCAGATAAATTTACGGGGACAAATGCAAGGAGTTTTGCTCATCTTGAATCCAGAAGTTTCCTTGTGGAGAGAGAGGGGGAGGGGGGAGGGGTGCGGAGACAATCGCTTACTTCACCATAATAGGTATGTGCGCCAATCAGGGTATGGTTCTCCGAGTTTTGGATCATAGACGGGGTACACAATTTTACGATTTCGCGGTTTTAAAAGGGTGTCCCTCTGAAATGGTGACATTGAATAGGGCGTGACATTGGCAATGTGTGGCCAAAATGTGGGTTGCTTAAAACCGAATTCTAGCGTGTCTCTGTTCGGGAACCTATTCGTCGCTGTGATTTTACCCTTCATATTTGGAAACCCTCGGATTTGTCCGCAAACTGCAAGGGGGGGGGGGGGGGGGCGTTGAGGCTCGAGATCAAGTACCACCACCAACAACATTGTTGAACAATTTCAAGGTTGGCTGTTAAATGAAGTTTTAATAATGTTGGCCTATCTTGAGCCTTTAGTCGAGAGCTTCACTCTCCGTCGTCTTCTGTTCTTGCTCTGAGTCACTTTGGAAAAGTCAGGGAGGCAGCTTAGTCTGTATTTCTGAGGCTCTCAAAGTGTGACCCTCTTTTGGACAAAATCTGCGCATTTCGCTACCCTGTTCAAGTAAAAAAAAAGGTCACTAATTGAGGTATATCATAAAAAGAAAAACTGATAGTACCACATCGAAAATCTGCACACAAGCCAGAGGGCAATAGGAGACCTGTGCCTCTTATCTCTTTTTCAGGGTAAAGATCAAAGCAATTGTCAATTGTGGGTCTAAAGTGATCCACCGTCAGGCTTTGTGTTTGCTCTCCTTCGCGATGTGATTGGGCCGGAAAACCCGCACTATCTTCTCAACCAATCAAACGCTTGTTATTGGCTTCATCTTAATCTAGTTTTTACTTTGCGTTCTCATTAGCTCCTTGAAAAATTTTTCTTTCCTCTCATTGGCTGTTGCGATAACTTTGGCTTCTGTTTTACGACAGCCGACCGAAATGCTTTTCTCCTCCAAGATTTTTGCTGAACTTGATGTTGAGTGATTGTTTTTTGTTGAAGTGCCATCGAACAAGCCCAATGCACAAGTAATGTAGATTTAAGAACGAGGCAGACGCTAATCAATGCGGAAGTTCTACGTGTGTATGTGGGGGGAAGGTGGGATTGAATCACAAGGAAAATTTTGAGCACACAACGGAGCAAGACCGCGTGGGACATACGTGCGAAGCATTTCCTGAACCAAAATTTGTGAGTTTTGTCTGCATGCTCGACTTCTTGTTAGTAAGAGAAAAACAATGTTATCCATGTATCATCTTAAACATGGATTTAACCCTTTCACTCCCAAGATCTCATTAGTAATTCTCCTTACTGTCTGCAATCATTATGATGTTAGGTCAGAGAATTTGATATTGGATCAACTAGTAATCCCCTCATTGTTATTTTTCTTTATTCTCTACACTCATCTACTTATTATTGTTATGATATTGTAAGGAGAAATTCTGTCTTGGTCACTCATGGGAGTTAAAGGGTTAAGGAGAATGTGTTAAAATGTTCTTGAAATGACGTGTTTTCCGTTGGCTTGCATATCAAGTGGTACCTCGCCTCACGAAAAAATGCTCAATCAACTGAAATGAAATGACCCGTTACCCTCATCCTGGGTCTGGGATCATGGAGGCTGAGGTTTAGGCATGAGATTATAAAATATAATCTCTTGTTTAAAGTTTATAGGTTTAAGTCACGGTCTACGAGTCGTCCACCAGTATTGGCGACACTAAGGTGAGAGGGGCTCTAAAGTGCCTATGACCAAATCTCTGTTGCAAAGATAAGGCGATGACTTAGCTCGTTCCAAGTCAGTCATTTGAAGTAAATCGTTCCTGGTGGATATGACCCATTCCCTCATGTCGTTTATTGAAATGAGGTCGCTTAATCAGCGAGGCTCCTGCCCCAAATGCGTTGGTACTGATGTAGTTCACTGATAAACGAGGTCAGATACGAAAGAAATAGATTTCCCTTGTGTCTCTGTCATTAAGGAAATTGATGGGAAACCGGGAGAAGGGTGCGTTTACTGGCTGTTTTTGCACAGAGCGCTTATCGGGGAGGGAGCTTGTGGTGGGCGTTTATTCAAGGAAGGGCATTTTTTTCTTCCGAGTGCTTATTTTTGTATCTTGTCCTTTGTCGCTTTCCATTCTGGTTCAATTATCGACGGCGTCGTATTCCCATATCATCTTTCGATTTGAAACTGTGGTGGAAAGCTCAAAAAAGGAGGCGCGATAAAGCCATTTATGCTAGCAAATCCAGAAAGCTGCAATCCCTCGAAGTTGCAACCTCCAGAAGTAATTTTCCTCTCATGAGCAGAAGAGAACGGAAGCCACAGACCTAAAACACCTTTGATATCCTTTGATATCCTCTGTTTCGCCGTGGAAATTATTGCTGACTCATACTAGGATTGGATTAGCAAAATGTCTAATCTCGTGATCTTTGCATTAGTCTCTTCATCGAAATTTTCTTTTAGCAAATTGGCGTGTTGCGAACCTATTTTGAGCTTCTGTCAAAGGCACACTGGTTTCAACAGAATTCCTCGAATTTTCTTTTAAACCGGATGGCATTCCGTCGTAAAATGAGATGCAACTCCACGTACTTTATATCAGATCTCAGAGAAATTCTTCGAATTTCAATTCCTTGATATCATTTAGTTCCTCATAAAAGGAATACTAGGTGAATGCTGAAGTGCCAACTTTTCGCCTAATTGATATCCGGTCGAGGGGAGGGAGCCGTGGTAAATTTCAGAATTTCTTTCGCTTTCACGGGAATTTTGTCTTCGATTATTTAAAGGAACATTGGATAGCGCCTATAGAACTAAGTCCTTGGCCCTTATGTGTCCTTACGTTTGCAAGAAGTAACATTCGTTTGGAGGAAATGAGGATAAAAAGCATACTGCAGTCTCTAGAAAAGTCGATACCTTTTATTCTTACTTATTAATATCCTCGATAAACCGCGAAGGGTATATCTGTCCCAGAACAGTATCTTATTTACAGCTCCAAAATATCGGCGCTGTGATATCCGCTTTTCTTTGATAATGATGACGGTTCGCTGAGGTTGAAACGAATAAAACTACCTTAAAATAACCCCGGCATTTGCATGCAGTGGTGCGTTTCTTGAGATTACTTTCCCAGCCCACCTGGTAGGCGCATGTTGCGTGAAAAATCTTAAGCTACGCATCAGGTGCTTTTACAATCACGTTTTCGAAACTTCGCGAGAACTTTCACGCGGTGATTGGGCCGGATGTTATCAGCAAAAATTAATTAGCGCTGATAAAACAATAGTATTCGAAGCGTGCGTAGAATCACGAGATTTCAATTGAAAGCAGAGCATGTTCTTCAGTAGTCATCTTCTTCTTTGATTTTGCTTCTTAATTGGTTCAGCAGATCATGAATTGACTCCATAGCGATACTTTTTGCCTGCTGGAGCCATCTTATGCCAACTGCGTCGATACGGTTCAGTTCAGCTAGGGTGGCTACGAGCAAACCTCGTAAGACTATAAACTCGCGACTGTCTTTCTCACCCGAGAAATTTTCCACCTGTGTTTGTAGATCTGTAACTCGATCCGATATCGATTGAACAGCAGATAGACTGCCGATGTTATTAAATAATGCATCTGTGTCGATGTTCGTAGAACTTTCGAATGATGCTGACGAGTTGGAATTATGCTGTGATGACGCACTAAAATGAATTTCATCGGGAACTTCGGTTTCAGCAGACGCTGACGTTGATGGTACTACTTCCGGTAAATCGGAGAATAAAATCACATTTTCCGTTCTTTGGTTTTGCGGCTTTTCCAGCTTTTCATTCGGGGGAAATATTTCTCCACCGATCTCATCTCTAGAAAGTTTAAAATTATGTGCTACGCCACTCTCTTGCGGGCAAAATGCAGATTCCATGTCTTCTTCGCATAGCGAACATTTACAATTTACAACATGTCCCCTCGAATTGTAAGTGCTTTGGACATTTCGTTTCTCCTGAAACTGTTGATACCACGGCTTATTCCATTCTACCTGCCACGAGGGGATTTCATAGTTCGACGATGTGAACTGTGGAAATCTATCTCTGTTGCTTCCACCCGACGCCATGTTGTTCCGCTCGGGAGTTTTCTTGTTCCAAAAAATTAAGTTATATCACGATGACAAGAGGTGCGAACACGTTTTCGACCCAAGTAATCCACGCGTAACAATCGCAAATTATCTGAACGAAAAATCAGGCGGCAAAGAAACAAATAAACCTTGTAAAGTACAAACACAATTCGAGAACATTCACTTCGTGACTACTGCCGTCAGTGTTTTGTGGTGTCCAGCTGAGTGACAAAACTAACACAATAGGGGTGGGAAAGACAAATTTTTACATTTCTAATCAGCGAGCTATCGCTTGGAAAATTTTTTTAAAAGATTCCTTTTAAGAATCTGAAATCATCAAAACTATAATTTGGAGCTTATGATGATTTCCAAGAAGGAAAACTCTGCAAGGGGGGCGGAAAGAGTAATAGATAAACATGAGGATGAACGCGTGGGCTCCCCCTCTCAGGTGAATAGTTTCTTTCGTGCGCGGTTACATGGTGATTACTGTTTCTAGAACGTTCGATCCACTCGCCGACATGAAGACAGTTGTCCTGGTCGGTGAACGATTTCGAAAGAACCCAGTGTCTACGCTCTGTGCTTATTCCTTGATTTCCGCGTGATATCTGTCCAGTTGTACAGGAAAAAGCTATTCCTCATTCCGAGATTTTATTTCGAGACTTCAGCTTGTAGTGAACAGAAGGCGTATATGGGGAGAGATTTTTATTCCGTTCTTGGGGTTCCCAAGAATGCCTCGGTGGAAGACATCAAGAAGGCTTATAAAAGGCAAGCTCTTCTGTTTCATCCAGACAAGAATAAAAACTCTGGAGCAGAAGAAACGTTCAAAAAAATATCTGAGGCCTACTCAGTGCTAACAGATCCGGACAAAAGAAGAATATTCGATAGCTATGGCGAAGAAGGGCTCAAGAACGAATGTGGCGGGTTTGGTTTCCCTCCATTCACAGACCCCGCGCACATCTTCCGCGACGTTTTTGGCAATGATCCTGATTTTCAGTTCTCAGGTAGGTGATGGATTTTTATCATCGAGAGAGAAGATTTTAGTGTGAATTTATCACAGGTAGTTCTAAGTCGTCCATCTTTGAGCTTCTTAACGATATCATCAAGAATAGATGGTATTAACAAACCGAGTGGTTACAGATGTTTTCGTCTGAATTTACTAAACTGTTACATTTAACCTTAAAATAAACTCTAGAAAGGCTGTTGATGTATAGTTTGGATTTTTCCATATATTTTGGTACATTCAAATTGTTGCCGAGTTCGCTCAACTCGATCCGAACCGTCATGAAAATCAGAGTACAATACGTTTTGCGCGTTTTCTAGTTCTAGAAACTTCTATATTTTGATCTTGTTGATATTGCACTTCTTACGAGCCAGTAAGATTTCGATTTTAGGTTATCTGTCACTATTTCATTGGGATTTTGTCAAGTATTTTAATTTGTGGAAATTAAACACAAAATTTTTGCTTACGAGGAATCGTTCGAATTAGGGTTTCAAAACATAAACCTGGTCGTTTCATCAATACATTTTCTGTTCTTTACTAACAAGCGCGAGGGTTTTCATCTTCGTTGGCGAGCATTGAGCTCAGCATTTACGTAGTTTCTTGGTATTTAGTTATGCCTGACGCACTTAAAAAGGTGGCTTGGCGAGATCAATGTGTTACTATTAATTTCTTGTCTCGACCAAAAATGCGCTCATGCGAAACAACAGTCGGCGGTCACTAACACATTACTGGTCTGTTTTTAACTGTGCATCTACTGGAATAAGTGTTCCACTGAATTTTGCCGGTTTGTATTGAAGGGAAAACGTAATAGTCTTGAATTGGCAGTTTATGGCTTTCCTCACAGTTTTAAATTCTGAACACTTTGCATGTTTGTCGTTTTTCAAGCATATCCGATGATTCTGGAATTTTCTCTCGACTACAACGTATATATTGATACTTTTTGTGTTTGGTTTTCGCTTTGTTTTCATTCTGTTTGTCCCTTGAAAATATATTTCTACTTCAATTTGCCGAATATCAAATTCCTGCTGCAAAGCTATGATGAATAAGTTTATCGTAAAAATCTCCCTCGAGTAGCATTTGGATAATGTTTCCATTTTTAACATAGTTTTTCTTCGATGATACAATCAACTGAAGGGGCACGAAATTTCGTAACGCCATAATTAGCAGCATATCAAAACCTCCCTTCATTTTCCTTTAAAGAGTCACACCGAACCATGATTCAGGAAATAACTAATGGCAGTTGTAGGCCTATTTTCGAAAATTAAGTGAACTACTGAGCACATTTGAACTCATTATTTTTGGTGTGCTGATGAAAATTGCCAACTTCCCTGTTCTAGAACCTTCTATTTAATTAGGGGTTAAAGCTTGTTTCATCTTGTGAAAGCAATAAGACTCTATCAATTAATATTGGTTCCTTGTTTACACCATCTGCAGTACAAAATAACAGAGAATGAAATTATTTCAGTCTGGAAGTTTCTTGCGGAAACAATTTCATTTCCATTGGAGCGACTAATCAGAACACCAATTTCCTGGTGCATTTGAAGTGTGAAAACAGTGCAACATTTCTCAAAATTCCATTTCTTCTGGAACATTTCCAGTAGACTGAACCAGAAAGTTTCTTCATTTAATCCCTTGTTTTAATAGAATTGTGGTATTCAGCTCCAACACCCAATACGTGTATGTACAGATGTCACATCTCATTTCCAGCTAGAAGCGTTAAATTTAAACTACATATTGTAAAAGATGGAAAGTATGTACTTAGAGTTTTTCAACAAATTCATGAGACTACAAGAGTATATTACTTGTGTTGAATTTAGCAGTGATCTATTCACCACAACACAGAGTACAATGTACATAATCACATTTTTATTCTGTATGTTTCTTTCTTTTACAGACTTCATGGATGGAGATTTTAACCCCAATTTCTCTCGCTTGTTTTCTACCTCACGGAACTCATCAAACTTTGGAGGCTTTAAACATTTTTGTGATGAAGATTTTGACTTCCCCTGTCCTGAGCCATTTAAGAAACAACCTGTTCGAGATCCTCCTATTGAGACCAACCTACAAGTTTCCCTTGAAGAACTTGACACTGGATGCACAAAACAACTTAAGCTAACCAGACAAGCCTTATCTCCCAATGGACAGGCTTCTCCTGAAGAAAAAATTCTGACAATTGAAGTCAAACCTGGCTGGAAGGCAGGAACAAAAGTAACCTTTGAACAACATGGAGATCAGAAACCAGGAGTAATTCCAGCAGACATTATTTTTGTTGTAGGGGACAAGCCCCACCAATACTTTAAAAGAGATGCTGAAAACAACCTTCTCTATACAGCAAAAGTGGATCTGCGTGATGCTCTTTGTGGATGTGTACTTCAGATTCCAACTATTAAGGGAAGATTCTTAGCAGTGCAGCTAAATGAGGTTATACAACCAGGAACACAGAAAAGAATTCCAAATGAAGGTCTCCCTCTGCCGAAATTTCCAGGAAAAAGGGGGGATATGATAGTGACATTTGACGTAGAGATCCCTACAAATTTGACAATGGAACAGAGACAGCATATTGCTGGCTGTTTTTAGAGCATTTTGTGAGCATAGAGTTTATCACAATAGTGAAGAAGACTGCCAATAATAGAAAGATTATTTCCAGTTGGTAGTATGATGAATGTATTTTTTGTATAGGTTGTTTAAATCATATATTTTTCAAATGATATTTTTCCTGCTTAATTGATACACAAATTATGGCACAACTCTGTTCATAACTGATCTCCATGTGACTTTACTTATTTTGTTGGTGTTGAAATATTATTACAGTTGTTCTCTTTCAGTGTATATCCATTTTCCCCTTGTAAACTTACAACTGTAGCTTTTTCTT